AACGAGAACATGCACGTCTGCGCGCTGCAGTGACGTGGGGGATGGGCGTCAGAAGCTCGTTCACGAACAAACTTCTGTTTTCATTGGCTGTTAATTCTCGGCTCAGCCTGGATTTTTCTAAAGCCTGTAGTACCACCGGGAAAAGCAAGAGGACTCTTTTTTTCCCCATAGCTTACCTGTCTAATATCAATCTGTCAGGAGATAGTGACAGAGTGAACAAATATGTTAAAAATATATTTTTAGAAAAGTTACATACTGCACCTTTAATGCCCGTAGCAGCCAATGATGCAGACGTAGTCCTTGTAGCATGAAGATGATTTTAGTTGTCATGCATTTCTGGGCCCGCTGCAGCTGTTTCTGCTCAGGAGCACTGTGGCTGAAGGTGTCATAGTCTGTGTTTATTCTCCTTAGTTTTCCTAGTGTTTTCTATGTTCCCCAGTGTGTCTTTGCCCAGCTGCCCCTCATCACACTGCTGATTACCCTTGTGTTTCTCCCCAGGTGTTTTCTYTTCAGTCATTAGTTTTCTGTGTATTTAAGRCCTGTCCTGTCTCTGTCTTTTGTCGGATGTTTGTTTGTTTGTTTTGCATTGTGTTTGTTATGGTGCTCTGCGTGTGTTCTGTTCCCCCTGCCTGTGATCCTCGTTTATCTAGTAAGTTTGCTGCTATCAGCCCTCTTTTTGTTAATTAAATAAATCTTTTTGTTAAATTTTGAAACCTGACTGCGCCCTGGGTCTGTCCCGTCACCAAACTCTCTCAGAAGGTTTATGCGTCTCCTCAAGCCTCTGGAGCAGGGCTCTGCAACCTGTGGTTCTGGAGCCACTGGCGGCTCTACAGTCCCTCTCCAGTGTGTCTGTGAAGCTTTGGCTAAAACTAACATGAGAGTCCATTTTAGTGTTTTTTTTTAATATTCACAACAGAAAATGCTATCTTTAGCAGTTTTCCTGTCAATTTGTTTGCAAATATGTGACACAAAGAGTGAAATCATGCTAGTAGCCTGTTAGCCACTTCAGTAATTCAACTTCCAGCAGTTTCGCTCAAATCTGTCAGGGTAACTTTTCACGACATTTTAAACTAGATTAAATAACAAGAAGAATTAGAAACATAAGCCTGAATAGTTCAATTGTAATTTTTTTTAAATTAAGTGTAATCTATAAGCAGTACTTTCCTTGTTTACAAATATAAAAAATACATAAATATGGTCTTTTTTGTCATAAAGTGTAAAAATAATTATAAATGTTCAAACTTGCTATAGTTTAATAATGTCACTCCCACTGGCCAGAAAGACCTCCCCATTCAACAACTCTTAGTGGCAAACAGAACACCAGTTGATTGCAGTTCAACACGTGGTTTATTAGTGAGTCAAAGAGCAGAAGTGGGTCTTCATATTGTAAAGGTTGCAGACCTGCAGTGAAATAAAGGAATAAAGAAAATATTCAATTAAAAGATATAAAACGTGTTGGACTTTCTAATAACACTATCAGCTCTTTTTCCTCTACAAGGAAACAGTTCCATCATAACTTAGATTTTACAAATATCTACACTATTCTTTACATAAGAATTTATTTTTTTGTAATATCAAATATTAAGCAAATTAGTGTTAGCAGATATCTAATCCTTATGAATAAAGAATGAAAACATAATATGCTGTGCTTCAAGTTTGTAATAATATTCTAATGATGCCATTGTCTTATCTTTTTTCCTTTTGCATAAGAGTAGCTTTCAAAGAAATATCAGATTATGAGATGTATTTATTTATTATTTAAACAGGTAAATGCATTGAGATTGGTGATGTATTTTGCAAGGAAGTCCAGACTTAAAGTGACCTGTTGTACATGTTTTTGGTCTGTGGGGAAAACTGGAGCACTTGGAGAAAACCCACATGAGAACAAGAAGAACAGACAAACTCCAGACAGAAAGAGCCCAGGTCCAAAACAGGGATTGAACCCAGGACCATCTGGCTGTGAGACATCCGTGCTAACCACTGATCCATCATGCTGCCAGAAGATCAGAAATAATATTCCCTAAATTCACCTGCACTTGTATCAACATCAACATAAAAAATAATAATCTTTAGCACATTTGATATGGGAAACACATTTTGATTTAACCACTTAATGCATATTTAATGTAAAAATATGCAGGTTTAATTCATATTACTTTCATCTTATTCTCTTTTAATTGTGGGCTTTGTGTGTATTATCTTACTTTTAATTTAAAATAAATAGGTTTCTATTATCTGGGCCTGGAAGGTGGTGGTACTAACATTTGTTTGTTCACACTCTGCAGCTCAGCTGTTCCCCTCATCACCACTGGCTCCTGGCTCTGCTTCTGACACGAAAAGACATTTTAAATAATTCTCAGCACAAATCTCTCTTTTTACAAAGCTTTCTGACCATCAGCTCAGTTACAGAAATGTACTGAACCACCTCAGAGCACTTTTCATATAACGCAGGTCTACATCATACTCATCATAATATTAATTCTGATAACATTCAGTCAATGAGTGATCCTACCTGCTCACTCTGGACCTGTGGGCTTTTGGAACAGGATGGTTTGAGAATCTACAAGACAGTTTCCCAGTTATGTGGTGTTGCATCATTTATATTACATAATGTTGTGTTACTGACTTGAAGTAACTTGAACGGTGGTTTGCAGACACAGTTCAACATGTTGTCTTACCTGATTCATCGTCCTCAAATCACAACCTCCTTTTACTGAAAAAGTTGCAAATTTAGCACATTTAGCTTCGTCAGTTTCCACAGCTTTCCTCTTTTTAGCTTTCTCCCATAAAGCTCAGCCTGACAACAAATCAGCTCTGCGGTGCTTACGAACAACTCAGAAGACGAATGAGAAAAGTCTTGTCCCAGCTAGATCCAGCAGAGATGCGTGGTGCTCCAGCTCATTATTTCACTGTGGAACATCACCTGTCAGTCACCAGGGGCACAACAAGTGGGGGTGGCCACGGGGGGCTGTGCCCCACCAGTTTTATCCTCTTGACTCCCAAGCTTTGTGCTTACTTAAATCTTTCCCAACTATAAGATTAGTAGTACCATTAGTAGTACCATATAATTATAAAATGTTTTTTAAGTACGATTTAAAACTATGAATATGTTTTACTTAAAATAAAAAATAAACTTAAATAGTTCATCTGACTAAAAGATAACTAGTATGAAATAAATGTCCTCTATAACAGGTTGAAGCTTTTCCTGAGGTTAGAGGCATTAAATAAATCAATACTTTTTAAAGCTAGCTGGACTTCTATTTTGAAACTGTAGATGTTTTAACTTGTTCGGCAAATGTGTTTCCATCTCTGCTTTTGCGCATTAACTCTGTTTATTACCATTACAGGATGCATTTTTTTTCTACACAACTGGTTGAGTTTAACAAGGCATGTGAGCTGTTTTTATTCAAATGATGCACCTGTTCGGTTCTTACAGACAACTGTCGACGAAAATCGTTTAACTAAATATGTTTTCTAAAAACGGATCAGGCAGGAAGCAGGACATTGACTCACCTGGATCAGCAACGATGTTAAAACAATTAGCATAAAGTCAGATGCGTTTTAACAAACCTGGACGCAGCTTTTTATATAACAATAGCTGCTGTGAAAACAATAAAATATGAACTCACACTTAACAGTTGTTATTTATTTATTTGTTCACATTTTTCTTTTTAATTTCTGTGACAAACCCTTAAATATTACCTGCATCAAAAAAATCAAACATTCAGGATTTGTAGGCGAATCAACTCAGAATGTAATATGGACACATTTTTATTATTATATTGTTATAATAAAACAAAGGCTGACGTGGAAATATGTAACAAAACAAAAAATAAATCACAGGTGTTACTCAGGGCGGGGTGGTGGTGGGTGGGAAACCTGACAGACTGCATGGAAATAAGGATGAGAGGGAGATTGACAGCAGCTGAGATTAATGTATTACACAGGAACAGATGAGGTGGGCATGGCAAGCTGACAGGACGAGCAGAAACTGACTGTGGGTGAGTCAGGAAGTAAATAAACACAAGTTTAACAGTAAACACAGAGGGGAAATTAAACTGAATATATGTACTGGTCAGGTCACAACAAGAATCCTAAAATACAGAAAACTGATTACAAAAACCTAAAGGACGATCTAAGACTGATGTAAAACACAAATAACCCAAATACACATATCATGACATAAAGGTAATGAATCTGCTTGCAATGACAACACAATTTCCTGTTTTTGAGCACAAAAAGTGTATTTTGTTTGAAATGATAGGTGGTGTTTTTATTTAATTATTTTGAATGTTACACAGCTTGTATGCCAAACTGCAGTAAAATGAGACAAATTGTCTATGCCTCTCTGCAGAACAAACAAGCACCAAAAATGTATCAAATATTCTTATTATTGGAAATAAAGTAAAGAAACTAAAAAAACTACTTTACACAACTAGATTAGGAGTAGCAAGTTTTTGCAAAACACCTAAATACTTGGAATAATTCTCCTTTAGGTTGAATTACCATATCCGGTCAGTAGAGGGCAGCACAGAGTTTATCTGCTGTAAAACAACCAGAGAAGAAGAAAAAGAAACAGAGAAGAAGAAGAAGAAAAAAGCCTCGTCCGATTGTTGACAAAGTGCAGCTAGCTACTTCTGGTTGGAATGCAATTTTTCTTCGTATTCTCCAAAAGCTATTGTTCACAATGACCTCTCCACAAGACAGACACGGCACAAAACGACCAGCTTCTCCCACACAAGTGAGTAAAATCACCGGAAGTGAGGATAAAACGTAAATATTAAAGGATGGGGGTCACGTTAGCGAGCTAACGAGATTGTTGAACACGTTTAAGACCACAGAAAGTTAACCCTGTTCTCAAACTGGTTCTGTGTTCCCAGTATAAACTGCACCACAGTGCTGTGTGTGCAGTGTTTGGCAGAGAGAGAGGTTTATGTGTAGTTGTGCACCCATAATGAAGTACAAACAGCTAATGCTAAAAATATATTTAGTGGTTTCCTAAACACTAATGCATTTAAAAACTAAATTCTTATGTCATTATATAAATAGACATTTTTTGTAAGATGGTGAATCAGTCTGTGAGTTTGTAAATTATTTATGATCAATTTAAAAGATCCTTCTCAACAACAACAAAAAAGTAAAATCGGTTTTATAGATTGATACCAATTATTTATTGTGAAATAAATCATTGCATAACTTTAAAGTGACTGTCCAAATGAATACGCTGCCTTTCTTCGTGTGTTTTTTTTTAAATGAAATGGTTTCAAAATATTTTATCGTTGCAGGATGGGTCCACACAGTGGGAATCTGCTGATCTGGGAAGTGATGAACGAAAGCAAAAGTTTTTACGTTTGATGGGTGCAAGCAAGGTTTGTTCGATTCGTTTTACACTCGCAGACCTAAGCTTCATACCAACAACTTGATGAATTTGTGTCTGACTGAAAATGTTACAAATAGATTTTGTCCTTTTTTAAATTTTCTCCAGAAAGAACACACAGGACGTCTTGTCATCGGTGACCACAAGTCGACGTCTCACTTCCGTAGTGGTGAGTTTGTTTGTTTGTTTAAACTTTGGTTAAAAACAGCATTTGTTTTGCAAGAATAAAAAAAAGTAAAATTTAATTACTTTGTCCACTTTACCTATTCTGCGTTATCACCAGTGTAATTAATCCAGCATCCCCCCCCCCCACTCCACATCCGCCACACAGATCCATCCGTGCTGGGATGGATCTGCAATGGCTCGGTGTGCCTGTTGTGATCAGTGTCTCCTCTGCAGGGAAGGAAGATAAGAAGATGAACGATGAACTGGAACATCAGTATCAGCAGGGCATGGATGGAAAACTGTCGGGAAGGAATCGAAGGCATTGTGGTCTGGGTTTCAGTGAGGTGAGGGGTCACAGTAGAACCTGTGAAAGGTTACCATTAGAAGCCTAAATAGTAGTTAATTATAAAAGCACACTTGCTCCAAACTGAACAAACTCTTGTTTATGCAGATAATACGCTGTCTTCCGTATGTTTCTCTCTTTAAGGAGAGAAATATAACAAAGAAAACTAATTAGCTGTTTATTTTCCTGTCCACAGCCTGACCCGCAGCTAGAATCAACACCCATCCCACCCCCGGATGGTCCGACAGATGGCGCCAGTCCAGAGAAGTCCACCAGTGAAGAAAGTCCCACAGACTCTCAGGACAAACACTCTGACACCAGTCCAAAGGAGAAAAGCTCAGAACAGACTGAGCACAGCTCAGACGATACAGATGAGGAACGCAAACACGACTACAAAGCAGCCTTCGTAAAATCAGCGTAGGGCGGGGGGGGGAGGATTTAAGTTTTGTATTATCGGATTTGGCCAGAATGTGTTTTGTTTGTTTACTTTTAGACGACTACTTGTTGTCTCTGTCATGTTTCTGAGCAGAGATGGATTCTTCACAGCTCATCACTCAGGTGAAGATAAGTCTTCAAGCGAAAAACAAACGAAAAAGTCTTGGGTGGTCCCAAACCTCATTAAAACGACAAACAAGCCAGTTTCATTTCATGTTTTTAGTTTGAACATTTTAACAGTCATCATGTTTGTCTTGAATAGGATGAGCTCTCATTAATTATGGATTATAAAGATGTGACTTTTTATTGTTTTCTTTATGAAAACTAATAAAAGGAACAGAGTCACTTTGTTTTCTGTTAGTATTCTAAAGGCATTTGATTATAAAGATGATATGGACTGTAGAGATATTGTGTTGGTGTCTTTAATGTGTGCATGAAGCTGTCAGACATGTTGCAGTTACTTTTAATGAATTTGTTTTGCAGAGGTTTTGGCTCTTTGGGTATCCATACAGGAAGTAAACAAAGTTTTGTTTATAAGGGGTGAGCTTTTTAAAATAAATATATTTTTTTGTATTTACGAACCAAATTTTACCTATCACTGTTTACTTTTATTAATTTCTAATCAAGTCCTTCAATGGATCCATTGAATCCAGAAAGAGAATGTAAATAGCTAAAACTCAGAATAATTCAAAATATGGCAAATGTAAAACTAAAACCACTGGTAAGACCCTGTCACGTGTAATGTTTTAGACAAGTTGTGAAAAGTTAGTCCAGCCTCTTTTGGACCTGTATATACTGTAATGCTAACAATTAGATCAAATATCTGGCTGATGAGTAAAACAGTCATACACTTTTCATAAGTCAGCTTAAGTTGTGTAAAATGTAGTGTGACAGGAGCTTCACATCAGATTATAGACCTTTATTGTCATTGTACAGACCACAATTTGGTGTTAAATGTTTTGGGTCTGGGAACTCCTTACAAGGGTGAAAAAGTTCCAGGGACCCCCTCATTAACTCCAAGCTGTTTTAAAAATATTGTCATTTTACCCCCTAATTGCCATGGGAATATTTGGGAAATTTGTCGAGGACCTGCTGCAGGATTCTGATTATGTTGTAATTGTTTAACAATTTGTTAAGACCTGATGCCTATGAGCAAGAAAGTTGCCGAACCAAATCCCTGGCCGGGGAACTTCCTGGGTAGAGTTTGCACGGGCACTCTGGTTTCCTCCTACAAAACAAATACAAGTGGGTAAACAATGCACTTATCATTTATCAGTGGATTTATTAAAGATTTGTCTGTCAAAAAGTTGCTTTATTTTTTAAAACAAATGCTCCATGTGCATCTATAGAAGGTAGAAAGTGTACTGAAAATTAGTGGAGAAAAACAGCTAAAGTAAAAGTAGGAAAAAAACTAGGTTAGGAAAAAGTCTGGCTGCTTGGAAGCAAAATATGAGTTAATTAGAGGTGGTATAAAATACTTTGAGCATATTTCAACCAGTCAAATAATTTTAGATTGAGCCTCAGTATGCTTCAGCTCCACGAAAGCTGTAAGATGTTGAATTTTAAGTATTTGATTCAACAATTAGTTTAAAGTTACCAGCTGTGTTTCTTTAATTGAAAAAGAAAAGTTGTTTGACTCCTGCTTGCTTTGCTTCCTGCTCATGTTATTAAATGACATGTTTTGAGAAAGAAGCAGCCTGCTCTTTCTGACATTTTTCTAATTGGGTTTAAAATGTTCAACACCTTGAAAACGTCTGTACCGCAGGAACTTTTCACATTCTGTCATGTTAACAATGTTAGAACCAGCCCCCAATTTATTCTAAACTCCCCAAACTAAAATCCAGTTCAACAAGTTGCCTCTAAAGGTCACCTCATTAGTAGACGGAGCACAGGTGAGTCATTTCAGCTTACCGTAGTATAAATACAGCTGTTTTGCTACAGAACTGCAGTGATCAAACAGCATCATGAAGCCCAAGGAACATACCAGACTGGTCAGGTTTAAATACGGTATCATTAACAAATTGAATTGTAGTGAAAAAAAATTACAATCAAAAAAATTCATAAAGTTTCTAGCTTCCTTTGTCCCCCCAGTATAAAATTCAATTCAATTATACTGCACCAAGTCACAATAAATGTCATCTCAGGGCAAAAAATAACTAAAACACTAAAATAAGACAGAACAAACAATAAATATTATACGTTTTTATTATTTTCAGTTGTTTCAGTTCTTTAGAATTAAGAGTATCTTATATTAAAATGATGTGTATTAGTTTTTGGACAGTCGTCTTGACAGTGTTAATAGAAATATAAAGCAGAAGCATCTCAATCAAAGCAGTTTAATAAATAAAACTATAATAATCACTAAACATTTTCACTGCAATCTGAGTGTGTCAGTTCTGGCTTTTCTTTCAACGAGAAAAAGTAAATTGCAGAAGAAAAGTAAAAAAACCATACTTTTGTTAAGATTTATTATTTATTGTGCAATGTAAGTGCAAAAAAAAATAAGAAAACCCATTACTATGTCAAAACTATAAATCAAACAACTTGTAAAAGCATGTTATGAATTCAATAAAAAATCATTTTGTGAGTGAATTGGGGATTTGCTTAAATATATTTCGATCCTTCTAAATGAAGCTTCCTTCCGAGTCTGATGCCTTCTGCAGGTCCTTCCTGCGGGTCAGTGCTCTGCTGCTGCTTTGGCTGAGGACAGAGAAAAGCAAAGATCTGACAGCCGTCGTCATTGTACATATTTTATTAACATCGGGTCTGATTGTAGCAGCACGTTACGTTTTCATGTAATGAAGGAAAATCCCTCCTCTGTCACAGGAAATACACACACACACCACCTTCACCCAAACACCTCGTCCACTTCCATCAAAACAACAGCTGACAGGAAACATTTTCACAAAGACTTTCACTGAAATTTCAACCTAACTTTAATGTCTGTGTAAGCTGTTTAGGTTTAATTTAAATATAACTTATTCACAATAAATTATGAGTGAACAACATCCCATCCAATGAGGTACATATAGGTGTCACACACTTCAGACTGACTGTGGTACGAGCACAACGCCATATTGGAAGGGGCGGGCTGTCGCTGTGAACAGTTTATCATGGCTACATGTCTGCAGAGAACTGCAAATATTAGTTTTTCATTAGTTAGCTTCAGCCTATAAGAAACATTCATTCATTGCAGACGTGTGCATCATATGAACTCCATTCAATTAAGTTTATTCATATAGAGCCAAGTCACAACAGTCGTTTTAGAGCACTTCGTCACAGACTCCCATCCTGAGCCAAGTAGGGGTCTCTGCAGTACATGCTGTCCTGTGGGCAGAGCTGGCCCTACCTGTGACTGGTCGAACTGGTCTTGTGGGGCAACTTAAAAGAAGAAGTAATGATAAAAGTAAAATAATGTGATTTATTGACTGTCAATGTACAGTTTAAAACACAATAATGATTCAAAAAAATTATTGTGAGCATGTAAACACAATTTATTGACTCCAAATTCTGTGACCTTCCTGTCTCAAGTTATGACTAATATTCATATTCATATTGATGTTTAGCGATCTGTTTACAGGCTGGTTAGGGATCTTTTGAACGAGCCAAATTTTTACACGTCCCACCACATGAGCGGCATTCAAATTTTGTGCAGCTAGCACCTTCCTGTCTCAAGTTATGACTAAAATTAATCTCTATATTTAAAAAATATTGGTGCTTCCGGGTC